CCTTATGAAATGTTCTCTAGCATCAGAAAAAATGCCATATGAACACGTAGACAGTAACAGAAACAGGATTTTCATCAGAGTGGGTCTTAGCCCAAGTATCCACCTGCAGACTGCAGCTGGTGGGTTTAAGATATTTTTTCATTACTCTTCAATTTTCACATTTTGAAGTAAAACAGTCAGGAGTGATAAGGTCACAAATTAGATGTCAAAAACAATCTCTGCAATAAATAGTTGAGAGCATAAACATAAATTGTCTGACTGAAGTGGGATCCTGTAAGCAGGTGGTTATGCAGAATACAATCTCTTTTTGTCTCATCCATTGTGTATCTATCCCACATAACTACCATACATTCAGACACATTCTCCTTTTCTCAACATATTACTTCAGCTTCTATAATCATGGAGACAGATGAAGAAGAGTATGATAGAAAATAAACTTAGGCTGTAAAGGAGGATTTTTATTGAGTGGTAACTATTGTTTTGTTCCAAATAATTTACAGATTTTTGGCATTTTGGCACAGACCCTGTATTCATGACTGATACAGACCGAAAAATGACATAAACCTGCCAAAAACTTCTCCAAAACCCATTCTGGTAACAGCTTAGCCCCTTTTGTTTACTACGCTTGGCTATGCCCCTGGCCACCCCTGCAAAGGATGGTGTCATGATTTGGCTGTCTGACTCCACCCCTTTAATAATCATTAAGCTATTAGGCAAATATGCCATATGTTGTCCTGTCTGAAGCAGGCAGGTTAAAATGGGGAAGAAAAACCCAATCATTTAAGTGATTGTAAATTTTTCATTTAGATCTGTCACAGTGGAAAAACACAGCAGTTTCTTTGTCCCTTGTTGTTGCCTCCATATGTCTCTCAGTTCCATTTATTCTATCAGGCCGTCTGCTCTCACCTGGCCAATAAAACAGGTGCTGGGAAATCACCAATCTGTGGTTTTAAGGTGGCCTCTCCCAGCCTGGAGCTGGACCAAGTAGAAATCATTAAATACAACATAGCAAAACAAGAAAATCAAAATTCTCATTAAAAAAAAGAAAAAAATAGGAATAAGAATACAAATCATTTAAAACCTAATTGTCATCTAAAAAATAAAATAAAACAAATGAACATAAATTATTATTTTTTATCTGACCCAAACACATTCATTCAACTTACACACTAGAGGAATTTCAAACCTAAGGGTAAACTTATCAAAACACTTAAAAAAAAATTCATCTAAATAAACAGTAACGCAGGGTGAGGAGAATGTTCACCTTCCTCTCAGCCCAAGTATCAACATTTAACACAAGAACCCACAAAAATCAAAACTACAACAGGATAGAGAGACATTACTCCCTGACACCATACATCTTTTTTTTTAAATAAATAATTTATAGATTTTGAGTATAAAGCTAGTAGTTTTGTTAGTATGGCTCTGGTTTTCAGTTTGTGTACACATGCAGCATTAGCTGAGAGTCAGTTATAATTTGCAACATAAATTGTTGTTGCATTTTTACAAAGCCAAATCTGCTGGGAAGGCTAAATCACATGGTCAAAAAAATAATAAAATATTAAAGTGGACATGCACAAGGAACATATGACACACAAAATTAACATTCAAAAGTCTGCCATGGATGTTAAAAATCTACCCATCATTAAGAGTAATGATGTGTGGGATGCCACACACACTAGCTTAAACACATTTGATTATATGTATATAAGAGCTTGTAATACATAGACGCAAGGCTATTGTAGTTCTAAGTCTGAGTGTCATTAAATATGTATTAGTACGTTTATCGTCAAAGATAGTGTGCTTTCTCCTGCTCGACTATTTTGTGAATTGTTTGCAGTATCGTTATCTGGTTGTATAGTTTTTCCCTCTGATGCCTTGCCTTAAATGTTGCTGGTTGTGTTATCAGAAGGTGACACACGCTCAGGTGCTTAGCTCCATGAAAAATATGTAGAGCGGCATAAGACAGCTGACTTATGTGTCAAATGTTATTCACCTCAAAACCTGCACTGTGTGAGTGTGTGGACAGAAATGTGGGAGTCAGAGTCAGAGCGGGTATTTGTGTGTCAGTGTTAAACACCACAGGACCTGAGCAGATGCTTCACTAAACTCATCAGAGAGGGCTGCTCTTTCCTTCATTATTTTAAATGTCACCGTTGTTGTCGTATTTCGTTGCTCTTAACCCTGTCCACTGCAAATGCCACCAGCCCAGCCCAGTGTCTGCTCTCTGTTAGCCCTTTTATTGTTTTAGAATCCCGCTCAAAAATCAATAGCCTACTTACAAAATTTGGACATGAAAGTGAATATGAGCCTCTGTCCCCACGCAGGTTCTTTTAAAAGGCATCTCAAGCCGATGAAGTCCAGCTCAATATTTCCTATTAGGATGCCAGGAGACTGTGGATAAACTGAGCAGCACACGGCTGTTTCACTGTGTAAAGGTGATGTGGGGTGTTAAGAAAAAAAGTGTTCATCCTCACTCAACTTCCTTGGTGTATGTAAGATAGCAACTCTAAATTAATCATACCCAATGAAAAAATAATCTCATTAAACTTTCAAACTTTTATTCAAATAAAACTTAATTTATTTCTGGTCATCATACTCTAGATAATATGAGACTGATAATAACAGCTCTCACACATTTTTTTCCCCATCTCCTGCCAATCACTGAAACATGTGCGTACTATGTGCAGCAGTCTGTTTGTATACTAAAGGGCATGTTGTGTCGCAGTTATTAGAAACCTCTGCAGGATAAATGATGTGGAATGAGTGAATCAGCAGCATGTGAGCTCAAGCACAGATGATTGCACCACCTGAAGCTCAGTGACTAATTGATTGATTGTTTGTCTGCAAGCAACAGCAGCTGGTGTCAATGTTCAAGGTGCAACAAAACCAAAGCTGTCATGGAATAAGTGGTTGTCACTTTGTTTTAAAAGGGGGCTGGGTTAAAATGATGTATAGTCTATAAATGCTTGAGACTATGTTCACACGTGCCTGTACACACGTGCCTGGCTATTTCCATAAACGGACATTTCACCCTCTCCGTTTACAAAAAAAAAAAAAGAATGTGCACACCACTGTTTTCAGAAAAGTTTTCGTTTACACTAACCCATGTATATATGACATCAAGAGCATGCCAAACCTGTAGGTGGCAGTGTAGCGAGAAGCTCAAGCCCACATTAGCCAAACAGAATCCTGCATAGCCGCAACAACAGCAAAGTCACTACCTTCTTGAAAAGCAAAAGGAAACAAATACAAAGGGATTGCACCAACATAGATGCGACTGCTATTCTGCATGCATCTATGATCACCATAGATTGTAAACATAGACAGTAGACTGTAAACAACTTTGCATTTAACCCAGTCCCTGGCGCACAATCTGCCGTCATCTACCCAAATCTCTGTTTACCTCAGTGTTTCTCTGTTCACATGCAAACAGAGTTTTCCAGCATCTCCTCTCTGGCTGGAGTTTTTAAAAAGCATCGTTTTAGCAAAAAGATTGCAGTATACAGCTCAGTCTCACAGCTTTTTCAACTGCTGACCAGGGTTGCCTTGACATTTTGTGAATTCCTCATTGTTACAATCCAGGTGATAAAACCTTGCCTTACTTTTCATCCATCCTTACCAAAGGCTGACATTTTTCCTTATCAGATTCACCGCAGCCAGTTCTCATTTCCAAGATGTCCAGCACAAGCACTTTATCATGACCCATGATGTATCCCAAAGCCTGGGTGATTGACAGCAGCCTAAAAAAACAGCCTTTTTTGTTTTTTTTACAGTGATAATAGATTTCAGTTTTAAAAGACAGCAGGATGAAGAGAACTTCGTACAGAACAAGAGGCATCACTTTGTTCGCACGGGACACCAAAATGAACTCAAACCAAATTCACAGCAACTTTAAAGACCTGAGATGTGAATGCATATGTTTGGTGTTGTATGACAACTGTTCAGTGGATCCCAATCACATTTGTACACACATTCAGGTCCCTGTCAGCTTGTTCATTGGGACTTAGGGACTGATTCTTTCTCAAGAGAGAATACATGGTAGACAGGTGGTTTTGCATCATGCAACAGACTGAGCAGGGGTCCGTTTCACGTAGGTGGTTCAACAAACTCTGAGTTAAATCCTTAACTCTGAGTTGATCTACTCTGAGTTAGGAAACTCGGAGTTTCCGGTTTCACAACACCTGATTTGAGACGGATTTAACAACTCCGAGTAGTTTGACCTGGAGTTAAGCACGTGCACGCCAGACATATACAGCCAGCATCTGTGGAGCCCAGATTCAATGATCAACCAATGGAAACAGGGAGAAGGAGGGGGCAGCAGCAAGCCAACAGCGAATTACAGCACGTTTGTAAAAGAAAGTGCAATACAGCAGCAGCTGCAGAGGAGAGGGAGAGGGCATGGGAGGAAATCGCTGCTCGCGTCAATGCGTAACTTTAAATCTAGTCTCGTGCAATCACAATGACAGACTGTTGCAGGGAAACTGCTTGAATCATTTTGATCATGTTTTACATTGTCAAGTAAGTATTAAGTGGCAGTTTGATCCCTTAGAAAATGCTCTTTTCACACTCAAAAATGAATTTTACTCTCTTATGATGTTCCGTTAAATGATTAGGAATATTAAACTAACTCTCCCCCCGACGATCGCAACCCTGTGTCTGTGTGTGTGTGTGTGTGTGTGTGTGTGTGTGTGTGTCTGTGGGGGGGGGGGGGGGGGATTTGCGATCGGACCGGCCGCGATCGTCGAACGGGGGGGGGGGCTCCTCTGCCTCCGTTAAAGGTGGGGCTGCTGGACCACCACCCGTTTTTGTGTTAGTTTAATATTCCTAATCATTTAACGGAACATCATAAGAGAGTAAAATTCAGTTTTGAGTGTGAAAAGAGCATTTTTTAAGGGATCAAACTGCCACTTAATACTTACTTGACAATGTAAAACATGATCAAAATGATTCAAGCAGTTTCCCTGCAACAGTCTGTCATTGTGATTGCACGAGACTAGATTTAAAGTTACGCTGTTAAATCCCAAATTCTCACCTCACCATCTCCATACCTGACTCCCCTGTCACTCAAGGCCAAACCACACCCCCAACACCATAAAAGCCAGCCCTCAGGCCTGCTCTCCCTTTTGCAGCCTGAACAAGAGCAGCACTGAACAAAGGGAATCTGACTGTGAGTGTGAAACGGACAAAGCCTTAACAAATGTTGTTGTATTCTCCTTATTTGTATTATTTCTAATATGGTTTATTCTCAAATATTATTTCTTTAGATTCCTGTCACCCTGAAACGCATATGTATTGATTTAAAACCCCGAAGTGGATGCATCTATGATGTAAGATTAGTTAACCAATTTACAATTCATTTGACTTTATCAGTCCCCCCTTTTTTGTAATATTTTATGTTGATACATCTTGTTTATATTCCTTTTGATTGTACAGAAAAAATCATCCACTGAAGACGAGCAAAATAAACCGTCAAACTGAATCCTGGATCCTGTGTTTTAATGTGCACTCAATATAGGATGTTCAATGAGCAAGCATCAGCAACATCATAATCTTTTACATGGTCCTTCGAGCCGGAGAGAACATCTATATTGAAAATGGATCCAAATTCAGTTTGGCATGATGGCAGTCAGGCCGGAGGAAGGCCACAAAGAGACAGAATGCCTCCCAGGTATCTTCGGGACTACCAAACCGAACTTTATGGCCAGCCTCCCAAACATTTTAGTCAATGTGCAGAACCTGCTGCAGAAACCTCAGAGACTGTTTTATTGAGACAAGAAGTGGCACAATTAAAGAGCATGATGAAGGATTTACACGAGAGAGTTGAACAGTATGAACATGGCTACTCAGAAGGAGATTCTGAAGAGGATTGTCACCCCCGAACAACTCAATCATCGCCAAACCAACCAGTAACTTCCGTCCCAGCCCCACAGTGTGAAAAGTCCATGTCTGAACCCAACCTAACAGAATCAGTACCTGCATTGCCACCTGGAAAAATGTCTCAGTCTGTTCAGACCCTTTTCCCATATGCTCCCACACTCTCTGCAGCACAAGGTGAACCTAAGAGACCTGCTCCTGTTCCACAATTGAGAAATGAGTCCCCAATCCAAGTACCATCAGGTCCACTTCCATCAGCCTCCCTAACTAATGTGCCATTCCAGCAAGCTTATTCCAACCCTGAACCTCAAAGATTTGCCCCCGCAGTGTCACATTCTGGGCCTTTCATACCCACAACTGCTAGTCTGCCTCCTACTGACCCTCCTTTTACCAGGCCAGTAATCAACCCTCCTATAACATTAACAGCACAGCCTATGCAAATACCACTCAATGTTAATGTTACACAGCCATCTTATGGCCCTCATAGCCAAATACAATCAACCCAGAGGCCTCCACTCCAGCCGTATACCATTCATCCAACGCCTATACCTCCACCTCAAGTCTCAACCAACCCTCAGCCATCTGCTCACCATCCAAGTCCTGTAGCTCCATATCAGTATCAACATTTCCCTCAACCTGTGCAGCAGCTTCATACCCAATATCTTGCACCTCAGCCAGCCCCAATCACCGGTGCCCCACAAGCTCTAGGAGCCCCCCTCAACTCAAGCTACTCCATACCTATGGCCTCTGCACAACAAATCCGATACACTTCACGTGTTGAAGGTCCATCATTCCCTTATTTCACCCAAAACGACCCCCAGGAATTCCTAATGTTAAAGATGGCCTTGAAAAACCTTCTTCCTGTAGAAGAACCTGAATTATTTAAGTTCCATATCCTTTTGGATCATCTTCACCTCCCTTCAGCCAGACATATTGCCCTGTCTTATGCTCACCACCCACAGCCCTTTACAGCAGCAATGGCAGCACTGGAACGACAGTATGGTCAACCACATCAACTGGCTTTAAAGGAGATCCAGACCATTCTCAACCTCCCCAAAGTGGCCCGTGGAGACGCTGAAGGATTCCAAAACTTTGCAGTCAAAGTTAGGTCATTAGTAGGGCTGTTGCAATCACTCAATTCAGCAGAAAGTGCAGCAGAATTAGCATGTGCCTCCCATGTCCAGAGATTATTGAATAAACTTCCCGTAGACCTAGTCTCAAATTTTGCAAGACATGCCCGCTCAGTTTCCCCGACCTCCCATTACAATCTAGTGGATTTTTCAGTATGGCTTGAGGGAGAGGCAGAATGCCAAGCCGTGGTAGCACAAGCCAGCAGTCTTCAAATCAGCACACCTCAAACTTATAGAAAGGAGTCAAGCTACAGATTCAAGCATCCTACCACCATCCTCCATGGATCCGACCGGAGGTTCACTCACCGCCCAAGTGCTTCTGGTTACCAACAACAGCCTGAAAGAAGGTACCCATGTGCATTTTGTCAATCTACCTCCCACTACCTAACAAACTGTGAAAGTTTGAAAGAACTAGGACCCGAGAAAGTGTCAAAGTGGCTAAAGGAAGAAAATAGATGTTGGAAATGTGGAAGAACCCATAAAGCAGCTAATTGCACTCTAAAAAAACCCTGTCCCAAATGTAATGGCCTTCACCTAGGTGTACTACACGATGTAAATAAAACCCAGACAGCATCCAGAGTGTTGTATCTGAACCCACGAAGCCTAACATCCAAAGTGCTGCTAAAAGTAGTAAAAGTAAGTCTTCACCACAACAATAGAGTTTTTGATACATATGCCATCTTAGATGATGGATCTGAGCGTACAATGTTACTACCAGGTGCCGCAGAGTACCTTGGGCTGGATGGTGAACCAGAAAACCTCGAGCTGCGAACAGTGAGGCAGCAAACAGAAACCTTGAATGGGAAAACTGTTAACCTAAAAATCTCTGCTGCATCAAGCCCTGAGAAAAAATTCTCAATTGACAGAGCCTTCACTTCCGACATGATAATGCTGGTCGAGCAAAGTTACCCTGTTGATAAACTCAAACAACGCTATCCCTATTTGCAAGGTCTCCCACTAAGCTCCTTCTCCAAAGTCCAGCCACACATCCTCATCGGATCTGACAATCCTTTCCTGATCACACCTATAGAGAGAGTTCAATATGGACCAAAGGGAGCTCCAGCAGCAGTAAGAACACGCCTGGGATGGGCCCTTCAAGGACCAACCTTCCTTGGTGAGTCATCATCCGCTACCCAGTGCTTTTTAACATCACCGGTTAACCCCTACTCAGAACTTCAACACCATGTAGAGCAACTGTGGCAAACTGATATCCTTCCCTTTAGAAATGAAAAATTAATCACAAGGTCAAAACAAGATAGAGACGCCATAGACCTCCTGGATAAGAAAACTGTGAGAGTTGAAACAGATGGTACCAAACGCTATGCAACCCCTTCACAAAGAAAAAAGGATGCACCTGAACTAAAAGCCCCAGCAGAATCTGTTATGCCCCTTCTCCGTCGATCTGAACGCAAACTCCAAAACAATCCTGAATTGGCAGACATATGCAATAATGAAATCAGTAAACTAAAACAACCTAGTTATGCGAAAAACTCAAACCTGAACAAGTCTCTCAGACAGAAGAATCAAAGTATACCCCTCATCACCTTGTGGAGCATAATGGCAATCATCATGTTGTCTTCAACTGCTCTCAGAGAGATTGTTGGAAGCCAAACCGTTCCAGAGGAAGTACTGCACACAGTGCAGGTTGAAATTGAAGGTATAATCAACTCCAAACCAACCGGATATGCTTCATCTGATATAGCAGATCCTGACCCCATCACACCAAACCTTCTCCTAATGGGGCGGCGAGATGCCTCTCTTCCACAGGCTGTCTATGCTGAATCCAACTTACTTGGAAAGAGAAAATGGAGGCATAGTCAGATCCTAACTGATCGATTCTGGTCCTGTTTCATCAGACATTACCTTCCAAGCTTGCAGGTGCGAAATAGATGGCAGAGAGACACACCAGGCCTGACAGAGGGAACAATGGTACTGTTAATGGATCCCCAAGTACCAAGAGGACAGTGGCAGGTTGGGAAGGTGTCTCGTCTCTTCCCCAGTGATGATGGAAGGATTAGGACTGTGGAAGTGACATCTAACCAACGAAAGTTCATCCGCCCTGTTGCCCAACTAGTTATCCTTTCACCTTTTAAAGCCGACACCCAGAATTGATTTGTGATTTATTGATTCAAATATACTATTTGAAGGGGCGGCTGTTAAATCCCAAATTCTCACCTCACCATCTCCATACCTGACTCCCCTGTCACTCAAGGCCAAACCACACCCCCAACACCATAAAAGCCAGCCCTCAGGCCTGCTCTCCCTTTTGCAGCCTGAACAAGAGCAGCACTGAACAAAGGGAATCTGACTGTGAGTGTGAAACGGACAAAGCCTTAACAAATGTTGTTGTATTCTCCTTATTTGTATTATTTCTAATATGGTTTATTCTCAAATATTATTTCTTTAGATTCCTGTCACCCTGAAACGCATATGTATTGATTTAAAACCCCGAAGTGGATGCATCTATGATGTAAGATTAGTTAACCAATTTACAATTCATTTGACTTTATCAGTCCCCCCTTTTTTGTAATATTTTATGTTGATACATCTTGTTTATATTCCTTTTGATTGTACAGAAAAAATCATCCACTGAAGACGAGCAAAATAAACCGTCAAACTGAATCCTGGATCCTGTGTTTTAATGTGCACTCAATATAGGATGTTCAATGAGCAAGCATCAGCAACATCATAATCTTTTACATACGCATTGACGCGAGCAGCGATGAGAAAATGCCGATGTCTCACCTGAAACTCTGGGTTTACTGAGTTAAACCTGCTCCCGAGCAGGTTAGGTTCACAGAGTCTGTTACTGTGGTAACTGACCGCGAGGTTGAGTTACCTCTCTTTGTGAAACAGGTTAGAGTTACCCCTCTCTCCCTGGTTTAACTAACCCTCCTTCGTGAAACGGAAAACTCAGAGTTTCCCTGATTTCAGGGTTAACAAACTCGGAGTTTCCACTAAACCTGCTACGTGAAACGGACCCCAGGACTCCAACACAAAGCGTTCACAATTCAACATTTTAGATTTAGAATTCCACACCCCACAGTCTGTCACATCTCCATGGCAGCCAATTCTTATGCTGTGTTCCAGTTGTATTTGGAAGTCAGAATTTCCAAGCTCTGAGTCAGAAATTCATCTGGAACCCCCCTGAAGTTGGATTTCCAGTTTGGAAAGTTGGAAGATCCTCACCAACCTTGACTTGATGACAAAGTCATAATCCAAGATGGCAGTGCAACAGTGAAAGCTCTCATAATGTATTATTTATTAACACTTCTGTTTTGTTTTTATGAAATTAAATGAGTGAAATATGTTGTACTGCCCAACATCTAACCGCGAACACGGTGCTATGGTGTTTGTAAGAGTGAAATATTGTATTATACGTTGTTTACAACTAGTATAGTTAACAACAGCTGACAACCGCCAACAACAACTGACATGGATAACAACAGCTGACAATTGTTAACAACAGCTAACAATGGCTGACAATAGGCGTCCATCTTGGCTTTCCAACATGTTTACAGGAACGCTGCCCACTCCGGTGTAGCATCATTCCTAGCTCCGACATCTGACTTCTGAGGTAACTGGGACACAGCTTAAGATATTAATTAAACTTAATCTGGACATAATCATAATCAAGCTAATATCACCCTACCTTTTGTTATAATTCACCTTAAACTGAACATTTACACTGAAGGTCACATTAAACAAGGAGAATGGGACTTTGTTTACATTAACAATTCTGTCCTCAGTCGGCTCTCCTTGTGGGAGTTTCACTGTAACACACCCTTAAGTATAAACAAGACTAATATCACCTCTTTAACAGTATTACCACTATCCCTCATAGTTTAAGTGACCTCTTAACTATCTGCAACTGAGAGGTGCTCTCACAAGCTCTGCTGCTGTTTCTGCTGCTGTTACAGGGCAAATGGGAATGTAAATGTTATCAAGGTTTTATTGGTTGGAGTTTGGTTTTTTGGTTAAAGAGGAACACATGGTTTAATCTCAGATTCACATTGAAATGTTGCAGATTTCTTAGGATATATTTAAATATTTAAAATGTGGACGTCTGTTGTTATTTTATATATATTTTTATTTGAATCAAATGTGCTTCTGTGGTATTTTCTTTTAGTGTTGCTTAATTCAGGGGAACAAATGTTCCCCTGAATTAAGCAGGACTTCAGACAAAAAGAGGAGTGATTCAGGCCAAACAGAAGTTTTTCAGACAGTTTTAGGGTATTTTTTTATGGCCCCACTTCTTTTTTGGACTTTATAGAGAAACGGTGAGATGAGCATAATAGGCCAGATGACGTGAAAGATAAATCACGAGCTGATGTCAGAGTCATTTAGCACTTTATGGGACTACATGCTTCATGGGCTGCTATCTGGGACAGTTTTATTACCTCATGAGACAGGTCTGTGAGGAAGTCTCTTCTGATGCATTTATTCAGCCTGAAACTAAGTGTTAACAATTATTCCAAGTTATTATTTTCAATTTCAATCTAAAGTGCAGAGACTGGAGATTCTGGATTTTACTCAAAATGCACTAATACATTTTGGAGGCGTTTTAATTTGAGGTTTAGTTTAAAAGCTGACAAATGATTAAAATATGTTACAATAGTACTTAATTGGAGCAATTAATGAGAGGGATTGAATTTAATAGACTGGAGTTAGGAGATAGCTTCATCTCAGGCCAAAGGTGGTTATAAAAATGATTTCTGAAAGACGGCAGTTTACCAAAATGTTGATCTTGAGGTTGAAATAAATTGTGGAGGACATACGAGTGTGCAGCTTTCCCTCCTCTTCTTTTGATGTCTCCCTGCAGCTTTTTTCAGTGTCTCACCTCAGATTTTTTTAAATATAGTTGGACAAACTCTCTCTGAAGCACATGTGGGACTTAAGCACAAATGAAAACTGTCTCAGCCAAAGACATTGCACAGTTGCGTTGTACGCATCCAGCGGAAGAATTGCTGAGATGACGTTCGGCCCAAACAACTTATTCCTCAGGGCAGTTAATTATCAAGACTATGCAGGTGCCCAACAACTGGCTTTAAAAGTTAAGAAAGCAATACAATAATATTGAAAATCTACATTTTATTTGAGTAGCCTACTGCAGGAGAATGACTTCGTATTTGTCATAACTTGTGCTTTAGTTCTCAGCCTTACATGTAATGACTGCTTGCCAAAATTAAAATGTCTCTTCAAATGGTCCACACTTAAAAGTGAACTGCAAACAGCTTAGGCCACTGAAGTTAAATGATGCAGCAAGGTGGTGTGGGTGCTGGTAAATTACAGCTCTTCTTCTTTTAAAGGGTATGTTCTACTTCAAAGCTGCTTGATTTATGCACTATTTAGTTCTGCCCAGTTGAACTTACTGACCATGGCTGCCTGTTTTATTCATTATTTTTATTTTTTTTTTGCAGCAGCAGAGCTGTATGACTGGCAGGTTTCAGACTTGTCATGTTTGGATAGATTTGGCTCTATGTTGCTGGACTGTGTGTGTATATGAAATAAAACAAAGTGGAAAAAAATGTACAATTTTCAGCAGATAAGTACTGAGACCAACAAACCCTTGGTGTTGCCAGACCAATCAGCCAGCTGGCAGGTGGTTCTGGACCTGCTGTCATTCTAAGCAGTGTCCCCTCAATGTCAGATACAATGGACCAATCACAGCATTCATTGGTTAGAAGGGTGCATTATTTTCCTCTACAGGTCACACTGTTTTAATGTATTACTACATGCTGTGTTACATGCTGCATTATTCTGATTCAATCATTTTTTAGAGGCTCTGACACTTTTCAGAGGCACTTTTGTATGGGACCGTTGTTCAAAACCGTTGAGTTTTTCAACCTTTTCACCGTCAGAGTCTGCAATATTGTCTTCTCAAATAGACCTTAAACAACCCTACAGTCTTCTCGTTGTTCTCATACTTCATGTGCTGGTCTCAGTTTTTCCTTTTGGACTATAGGGCCCTCTGTAAATGGGGAACTCAGCCCTTTAATCTCCTTTTTTGTTTCAGTTCTTCCCAATTTGACAAACCATTAGAAGAAAGGATAACAGAGGCAAGAGGACAGACCACAATTTCAGACAGCAGTATCAACATAAGTGACTGTGATAACAAACAAAATAAGGCAGTAGCTTTAAAACTCCTAAGACTAATGATTAAATCAGGTTTGAGAATTATAGCTTATTGAAGGGAAGCCAGATCTGATGTTTGTTCTTTAATTAAAGCGTTTTCCTTATTTACTGTCTTGGAGCAGCTCTCTAAAGAGTGATGGGTATCTTTAAGTCAGGCTTCTCAATCTCTCAAAAAAAGGTTGGAATATTGATTTTACAAAGTGGAGCCTAAGATGTGTTTTTCTTCCTCTGCTGTCCATTAATGGTTGGCAAATCTTCAGAAAGGTGTGTCTTTGCCACCAACTATACTGGAGTGGAACAAAGGCACGATTTTCCTCAGGCACTAAAATGTTGGCACAGTGGTCAAGAGAATGGCTGGCTATCAAATATGACTGTTGGTCTTGTTTGTACCAGAAGCTGCTGACAAGAATTGGAATCATAACACCACCAAAAACAAGGGTGCATTCATCAGATTCTTCGACTGCTCCTTCTTATGAAGTATCACAGTCTAATCCTGAGAGAACGGGGGAGGAAATTGTGAAATGAATTAGATTCACTGTGTAAAGTAAATAACTCATGCCACTATGCCGATATGCCGCCAGTCTACCAAAATACCACTAGACCAGCTGCGCTCCGCCTGCACTGAAAGCTGACCAGGTTTGAATCTGCGAGCTTTCAGTGCACTTTATACGCCACCGGCAAGCACGAAAATGTCAGTGTGGCAGCTGATTCTGTCGACACCTCCCTCTTCCACGCCACCACGCCCAGCTAAGATCTCGGTGCACCTCAGTCCACGAAAATGCCAAACTGGCTGTACGCCAGGCTCCGCCAGACGAAAACTTCACTGCACAGGGTCCACCACCCTCCGCCGCCTCACTGGCGGACATGAAAAAAGAGCCCCTAACATATAAAACCATCCAGGTTATGGGAGGACAAGCGTTAATGTTTATAGGTCTCTTCAACCTGTGAGTCAAACCCTGAAACAGCAGTGTTGAACATCCCTCTAAACCCTAATAACTTCGTTAAGCTCACATAAGGTACTACAGTGCATCTCAGCTCTCACCTGAGTGCTATTAAATACTACACTTCAAGAAAATACCTCATCTTAACTAAGGTCGTCAACGAATATTCTAAATTCAGATATATCCAAATATATTTATATTTTTTTTTAAAAATAGATATGAATGTGAAAATTAATATTCAGGTATTAAATAAACAGTGGGAAAAATCTGAATGGGAAAAAAACTAACGTGTCGTGGGCCGGCACAGTAGACGGAAAAAATGCTGAGTGAGATATACGCAATCTGTGTAAAATAGAATAAGCTTATAATTCCACCATGTTCTATATATAATTTAATCTCAGTATAATATTTGCTTCCATCACTGAATGAAGCCTGTCCATATGGGCACGAGTCGGGACATTTAATTGCTCACACAAGGTGGGGGGCAAGCAAGTTCATTTTGTAATGTCCTAGGAATTCTCAAAGATGTTAAAACTGAAATAAAAATAAAAAATACATATACAAATAGTTATATCTTGTATTATTTTGTCCTCCTATTGGCATAAGGCGCAAATATAGATGTCTGAATATG